TATATTGAAATTGCTTTTTCCAATATAAAATATTGGTCCTTTCAGAGTAAAATGTTTAATTATACAGTAAGCATACTCACATGCAGACACAGGCAATCTCACTGACACAAGCTGATTGATACACAGCCTCATAGACAAACAAACAATCTCACTGATATACATAAAGTCATTGACATAAAAACACAAGCCCATTCACTAGCAGGCACGCACACACACACACACAAGCAAGCCCACTCACTAGCAGACGCGCGCACACACACACACAGCTTAATGTAGTGGTTCTGGTATCTATAGCCTGTCCCTGCAGGCTTTTCAATGTAAACACTGACTTTTTAGAGAAAAGGCAGTGTTTACATTGCTTCCTAGTGACAGACACTCAGACGGTCACTAGAGGTGCCTTCCTGTGTCAGTGCGTTGGCTGAGATCATCAAGCTTGATGATCTCAGCCATAGAAGCAGGGCCAGTCGAGGGGAGACCAGCACGATGTGGGGGGAAAGGTGAGTAAAAACACACATACACACACACATACCATGACAGACACACACCATGACACAGACAGACCATGACACAGACAGAAACACAGACACACCATGACACAGACACACACACACACACCATGACAGAGACACACGCACACACACCATGACAGAGACACACGCACACACCATGAAAGAGACACACGCACACACCATGAAAGAGACACACGCACACACCATGACAGAGACACACGCACATACCATGACAGAGACACACGCACCATAACACAGACAGACCGTGACACAAACACACACACACACACACATTACATGACACAGACAGACACACACCACGACAAAGAGAGACCGTGACACAGACAGACACACATTACATGACACAGACACACATTACATGACACAGACACACCATGACACAGACAGACACACACACCATGACACAGACAGAGCGCCTGTGTAGAGAGAAAAAAAAACCACAAAGGCTGTGGAATGGAGAAAGAGACACATGGAGGGACTAGGGAATGGGAAAAAGAGGCACACAAAAGTGCCGGGCGAGAGAGACACACAAAGGGGTCTCAAAGAGGATGTGGGGAAAGAGGCTGGCTATAAGTAACAAACACGCAAAGGGGATGCAAAGAAAAAGAGATACACAAAGAAGCTGGGGGAGGTAAGAGACACACAAAAGGGGGGGTAATGATAGACACACAAGGGGAAAAAAATTACTAAAGGGGTTTAGATACACTAAAGGGAGTAAAACATTTAAAAGGGAGATTGAGAGACACACAGGTGTAGATGCATTTATTTCGGGGAGTGGCAAAAAGCATCTTCGCCTGTGTACCCAATAATCCTTGCACCGGTAACTAGGACACTTTAGAGTAAGAAATACACATTTATATTCCTAACGCTACAGTGTTCCTTTAAACAGCACTCCATTACAGAATAGGTTACAGTTAGTTATAATGGGTGTGTTTTCATTAACCATATTTAATTTGAGGGGAAAAAATGAAATAGCTATGCTTAATACACCCATGCTTTTTATGTCTCCCTCCAAACTTGCCGTGTTTTACATTTTGCCTTTTTGATATTTTTCCCCAGTTATGTAGCGGTGTGTGATGTGCATAAAAGATTTATGTGAGTTATCGTACACTTGTTAGGTTTCTACATTAGAAAGATGAATCCGGAACTAAAACTCTCAGAAACCACTAAATTGTGCATAATCCAATGATGTGCTTATGGTGCATTGAGATAGGCTGAGTCATTACCACACATTAAAATGGGTGGTAGATCCACCATGGTGTGTTCCTTTAATACAGTAAAAATGTTGTTCAAGTGAATTCTGCGGACATAAACTTTGTCAGCAAATTTTTAGTTTCCATTTATCCTGAATAAATGACAATGACTCACAAACTGCAGTGATTCATAAAATTGAATCATAATTGTAGAGGTATTCTCGGAAGTGCCAACAGCTCTAGTTATCACAGTCCTGAAAACAAGACCTCCGTTCTGAGGCCAGTTGTCTTGACTTTGGCTTGTGTCACTTCAGCACAGTTCTGCATATGCATGCCTTTTCTGAATTAGTGAAATCCATGCAGGACAACTTGTGATATAGAAATCCAACATTGTATGAGTATTATTGCATAATTACATCACAAGACCTTTTGTGATAGCCAAGGCATCCAGAAAGTTGGTGGTCCAGCACGTGCGACGTCTGCCACATCTTGGCTTCTTTCTACTTTGCAAATATACAAAATACATTCTGGTTGCCATTTTGACGCAGACTGCTTCAATTTGGTCGTGCCTTAAATGTTTGAATCCCTGCGTAAATTTTTGGCACCACGGAACCTTGAGTCAGTCTGGTGTCATCGGCCATACACGTTCAGCAAATGGCAAACCAGTAATGCCTCACTAGTGGATATTTAACACCTGGATTCACATTTGTTGCTCTTTCTGTCATGGTTCCTGTATACTTAAGAGTGCATTCCTTGTGTTATTGTCCTATCTGTTTTTTAGTTTAGCTTGTTTGGCTACTCTTTATCTTTGTAATCCTGACCTCAGCTTTTCTCTCGTATTTGTACTTTTCTATACTCCTTTGACCTTATATTGGCATTCTGCCTATATTGTCTATGTGCTAGCCTGGCCACTCTTAGGACTGATTGGTGCTTATATCCTCTGCTCTGACTTTACCCAGGTTTGTGTGTTAGGAATAGGATAGCCTTGACCTTACGAAAGAGCCACCCTGCAAGCCTACAGCAGATAGATTCTTGCAAACCTTGTGTCATAGGATGGAGCAATTTGTACAGGCTCTGCAAACGTCTCTTGCTAGGACTGCATGTCTTCAATCTGCGAATGAGACCCCTTAGAGCTCTGCCCAAGAAAAATCTTAACCAAAGTCTACTTCTTTACCAAGTTCTTCTGTGCATCTCTGCCCTCCTCCTAAATTTCATGGTGATTCAGCCAAATGCAGGGAGTTTTTGGACCAAGTTGTTTTTCATTTTGAGATCTATTGGGAGATATAACAATGGGTGATTATGAGCTGGTGGTTTAGGGCAATGTGGTTTAAACTAGAGAATTATGGCAGTGAATAAGACAATGGAGAATAAATGTGTGGAGTATAACAATAAAAGAATGACAACTCGAATACGGGGCAATAAGGGAAGATTGTGATCAAAATCTCAAATTTGGGAATTTGATAGTAAGGCAAAAAATGTGGAATGAGGATTATGGAAATTCGAGAGGTGAATGGTGAAATGTGATTATAGATGGGGAAAAGGGAATATGTCAATACGGAATAGCTGGGGAGGTAACAGTACATGGATATAGAGTAGCAAATGGGAGAATTTTGGTGAATATACACATGTGGATAATTTAGGCTACGGAGAAGATATTGCTAAGAGTTTGAAATGGCTGTTGGATGCAGATTCACTAGAAATAACACAGTAAGTCAAATGAGGGCAAGAGGAGGCACGGGAAAGCAACATGTATGAAAGCAGGGCACAGGAGAAATACTGTTAGACATATTATGCTAGAAAATTTTATTATTGATGAGAGAAAGGAAAGACAAGTAGACCTCAGTGGGACCACATGAGAAGAGAGGATCTCGTTCAAAAAAGTCTACAAGATGGTGTCAAGGAACATGGAAATGACACACAGATACAACTGGACAAAAATTATGAACATTGGTACATATGAATTGGGTTCCAAAAAGATTGACATGAGGTACAAGAAATGGACACAGAAGAAATGTGGGCCACAAGACAAACGTATGTCACACAGAAAAAGAAGGATGGAATTAGGATGAAATGCAATTTGCACTTCTGTCATCTTATCAATCTTTCTTTTATTAAGGCATTTGCGATGGGGTACAGAATGAAGAAAAGGAAACGTGTAAGCAAAATAAACAATACAATATTAATACCACGCTAACATAGTTGGTGTCACGTCCTGCTCTGTTCTGTGAAGATGTCTGGCAATGGCTTCTGGTATCCAGTACTCTTGTTACAATTCTTGTTTAGTTTTTCTTGGTTTTTGGTTTTCTATTCTATGTCTGGTTTTCTTTATGCTGGGATTTCTGGGTTCATTTCTGTAATCCATGCCTGGGATTCCCAGTCTCCAGGTTTCCTTTAAATGTTTGTTTTATGTGCCACACCTGTTTGTTTCCACTTACCCTTTTGTTTCAGCTTGGACCTGCAGCAGTATTTCATCTCTCTGCCCTTTCTTGCAGGTAAGTGCTATTGTGGTATAGTGTGGTTGTTTTAGTTTGCATTAGGCAGTGTAGGACCTGCCAGATATGGGGTACATTGGCGTTGTTGGCAGGCTTATGCAATGTATGATCATATAATGTAACTAAATCCCCATGCTTTTCATAATTAGTGCTTAGCTATGTTTCCTCTTGTTTTACCTTGTATCTCTTGTCTTGGTTTGTATACCCAGCCCATGTACAGTCCTGTCCAGTCATGCCCATGTTATGTTCATGTTTGCCTCATGTCTTGTGTATATGTTCTGGGTTTAGCTTCCTATCCTTCTCTGGTTCTGGGTTCTATTAGTTCTGTCTTGTTTTCATGTTTGGTGCCAAATTTAGTCTTGCCTTGTTTCTAGTACTGGATACAATCCTGCTGCAGAGCCTCCCTATTAAGCTCCTGGGAGGTCTGCTTAATTTCCAAGTTCCTATTTCCTGTTATTTGCATAGGCTGAATCAGGGTCTTGGTATGTGGCTGCACAAACGCTGGTGCTCAACACCAGGGGGCGTGCGGTTACCCTGCACCAGACCCTGCTAATCCACTTCCACGCTGAAGACTCCCACTTATCATCAGGCATATTGGGTCCCGGTTCACGCGCCGCCGCCTGGACACTGTGTCTGGGTTCCGGGCACCGGACTGCCACCCTGACATATGGCCGTAGGCACAATGGAGTTCGTGGAGTGGACTTTGCAGCTTTCCTGATCTGTTCTGTCTGTATCCTGTTCAGTCTGGATTATGCAGCATTCAAGGGTACCTGTATCTGCAGGTTTCATCTTGTCCTGCTTTTCTGGACTATGCAGCTTTCAAGGGTACCTGTATCTGCAGGTTTCATCTTGTTCTGCTTTTGTTCCTGTTTTCCCTGCATGCAAGGGATCCTGTGTTTGGACCAGTCTGCTAGAGATGGCTTCCTTATTTTTGTTGTGGAGGAGGTCGATCTGCTGAGCGGTACGGTGGTCGCCTCGGGTGTTCCCTTGTGATGCTTGTTTCCTGCTCCTTCTCTGGCGGGTATCTCCATTCGTTGTCGGTAGTTCCCATGCAGGAGGCCTTTCCGGTGGGGGATCGGTGCCTCCGTGGAAGTCAAGAGGACTTCGTTGCAGGATCCGCTCACCATTCCTGGTCTCTGCCTGGGGGCTGTTTGGAGCGTCCGGAGTTCGCTCCTTAAGAGGGGAGTTATGTCACGTCCTGCTCTGTTCTGTGAAGATGTCTGGCAATGGCTTCTGGTATCCAGTACTCTTGTTACAATTCTTGTTTAGTTTTTCTTGGTTTTTGGTTTTCTATTCTATGTCTGGTTTTCTTTATGCTGGGATTTCTGGGTTCATTCCTATAGTTCGTCCCTGGATTTCCCAGTCTCCAGGTTTCCTTTAAATGTTTGTTTTATGTGCCACACCCGTTTGTTTCCACTTACCCTTTTGTTTCAGCTTGGACCTGCAGCAGTATTTTATCTCTCTGCCCTTTCTTGCAGGTAAGTGCTATTGTGGTATAGTGTGGTTGTTTTAGTTTGCATTAGGCAGTGTAGGACCTGCCAGATATGGGGTACATTGGCGTTGTTGGCAGGCTTATGCAATGTATGATCATATAATGTAACTAAATCCCCATGCTTTTCATAATTAGTGCTTAGCTATGTTTCCTCTTGTTTTACCTTGTATCTCTTGTCTTGGTTTGTATACCCAGCCCATGTACAGTCCTGTCCAGTCATGCCCATGTTATGTTCATGTTTACCTCATGTCTTGTGTATATGTTCTGGGTTTAGCTTCCTATCCTTCTCTGGTTCTGGGTTCTATTAGTTCTGTCTTGTTTTCATGTTTGGTGCCAAATTTAGTCTTGCCTTGTTTCTAGTACTGGATACAATCCTGCTGCAGAGCCTCCCTATTAAGCTCCTGGGAGGTCTGCTTAATTTCCAAGTTCCTATTTCCTGTTATTTGCATAGGCTGAATCAGGGTCTTGGTATGTGGCTGCACAAACGCTGGTGCTCAACACCAGGGGGCGTGCGGTTACCCTGCACCAGACCCTGCTAATCCACCTCCACGCTGAAGACTCCCATTTATCATCAGGCATATTGGGTCCCGGTCCACGCGCCGCCGCCTGGACACTGTGTCTGGGTTCCGGGCACCGGACCGCCACCCGTGACATAGATGGCCTAACAGCCATATACTACAAATCCTTTGGAGACATTCTCACCCCCAGACTATGCAAAGTCTTCAATGCAATGCTCAATGGAGACCCTCTACCCCAGGACATGACGCAAGCCAATATCACCTTATTACCCAAACCCGGTAAATCACATGACGAACCAGGCCACTATCGCCCCATTTCCCTCCTGAACGTGGACTTAAAACTACTGACTAAAGTAATGACGAACAGATTGAACCCCCTCCTAAAACAGCTGATCAACCCAGACCAGGTCGGCTTTATCCCGCAGAGACAAGCACAAGATAACATGAGGAGAACCATAGACCTAATCTTGCTAGCCAACCACAGACACATCCCAACAGCAATTCTCTCCCTAGACGCCGAGAAGGTATTTGACCGTCTCTTATGGCCCTACCTTTACGAAGTACTTAGCAAATTCGGATTCCCGCCCAAATTTACCCAATTCCTACAAGCGATGTACCATAACCCAACCGCACAACTACTCATTCCCAACATCACTCCCCCCCCTTCCCCATCCTAAACGGCACTCGTCAAGGATGCCTGCTTTCCCCCTCCTGTTTGCCCTATCCCTCAAACCCCTACTAGAAACCATACAAAACAACCAGCAAATTGAGGGATTACACATCAGAGACGGAAGATTCACTATCGCAGCATATGCAGACGAAGTTCTCTTGACCCTGACTAACCCCGACTCATCCCTAACAGCCCTTCTGTCAACTTTACAGGAATATTCCATAATCTCAGGCTACCAACTTAACGCCTCCAAATCAGACCTACTGCCCATCAACCTCACTGATGCCACACTTCACGCCCTAAAACGCAAGTTTCCCTTCCGCATCTGTACAACAACAATCACCTACCTGGGCATTCAGCTCACCAATGACACCACCACCCTCTACACCACTAATTATCCCAGTGGTGAATTACCAAACTCTATAAATTATTATGTACGCATACACATATCAATCCCCCTTTCTTCCGTAAAGCACACACGGACCTTCAGCGATGGAAGCCCATGAACATCTCCTGGTTAGGGAGAATAGCCTCCGTAAAAATGAATCTCCTACCCAAATTCCTCTACGCCTTCCAAGCACTACCCATCCCATGCAAAAAGACCGACCTCAAACTCTTGCAAACGGCGATAGACCACTTTATCTGGAACGGACGTAAACCCAGAATCCGCTAATCCACCCTGTATGTCCCCAAACCTTCAGGATGGCCTTCCCATCCTCAAACACTACCAACAAGCAGTGCACTTAGCGCAAATCCAACACTGGCATCTCCCCCCAGCCCACAAACAGTGGGTAGATCTTGAACATCTCATCTTCGGACGAGACCACCCCTCACAATACATGGGGCTCCCAAGACAACACAGACCGATGCCACCCCCCACTTCCCCAGCAATCACCTACTCGCTGGACCTCTGGGACCGACTCAGCGACAAATTCGACCTATCCACAGGCCTATCACCCCTCACCCCAATTCCCCGCAACAAAATGTTCCCACCAGGCCTAACACCACAACACTACGCTCACTTTGAAGAAAGGGACATAAGCAGACTGGGACACCTCTATCCCAACGGCAAACTCTTACAATACACAGACATCCCTAACTCAGAATCCTTAACTACATTCGATCACTTCAGATTCCTACAACTCCGCAGCTTCGCAACCACAGACGCTATCCGATTAGCGGCCACATCAGCCCTAACTGAATACAAGCGGGATAGCCTCCGCTCACCATCCCGAAAGGGCCAAATATCTGACCTGTATCTATCTTTGGCAACCCACCACTCCCAGGTAGCACTACCGTACATCTCTGCATGGGAAAGGGACCTGGGAAGCCCAGAGGACGCCACAGACTGGGCTGACATCTGGGCGACCACCAAGTCACTATCAATCTGCGTTACCCACAAGGAACAGGCCTATAAAATGCTTTTCCGGTGGTACCTCAAACCCAACGCTTAATGGCTATGAAACGTATCCCCTTCAACCTGCTGGAAACTGTGCGGTGAAACTGGCACTTTTCTCCACTGCTGGTGGAATTGCCCCAAACTCATCCCCCTGTGGAAATCCATCATAAACCTCCTAACCAAAATACTCAACAGACCAGTACCCCTAGACCCCTGGGCTCTCCTACTCTCAAAACCCATCGACCCTTTCACCCGCAACGAAAATAAACTCATAGCCAGAATAACCTTGGCCACCCGCAGAGCAATAGCGGAAGTATGGTCAACCCCACACATACCCACTCAAAATCAAATTCACCATAAAATAACAGATAGCATAGACATGGACAAACTAACAGCACAAATACATGATACCCCAAACTCATTTCATAAAATTTGGGACCCATGGCTAGAGGGCCACACCACCACCCCATGGTGAAACCACAACAGCCCAAGAACCATACCCCCACCATCAAGTTAGCACTCACCACAATAACGACAACCACATACTCCACCTCCCATCCCAAACCACCCACTCTGGGATCGGGAGGGACACCAGGAAGGCAGCAACACCCCCCTCCCACCCCTCACAATCCCCTACCCTCCCACTCTGCTCTCCCCCACAAAGAACAATCACCCACGACTCACCCCTTAACTACCCCCCTGGCACAAAGGACCCACAAACTATACCATAGACTTCCACCAATGAACAAGCAAAACCGACCTAGTACCCAACCCGGGGCACAGTGCCCCAGTTAGATCCATCCCCCCCTCGAGGGGCCCGGCAAAAAACAACACTAACATCTACGACGCTCACAGGACCTTCAACCCAAGTCAGCCCATGAATAAAAGGTATAGACATAAGAACAATTCTTAAATGTAACGTGCCGAATCTCCTTACAACCAACCCAATGTTTTACCGCACTGTTATTACTCTACTAACAACCCTTTCTTTCTGTAAAACTGGTTTTACCTTGAAAAACGAAAATAAAGAATCTTTAAAAAAAAATCTGAGATATGTGTTTCTGCCAACTCCTCTAGTTTTTCCCCTTTTGAGGAAAGTCACCATTCTGCCAGTTATTCATTTTTGGCCCAGTTTTTAACCTGGCACCTCATTCTCTGAGATTGATGGCTTGGAAATTTAACCCCTTAAGGACACATGACATGTGTGACATGTTATGATTCCCTTTTATTCTAGAAGTTTGGTCCTTAAGGGGTTAAAGGCAACTCCTATCAAGTAAAGGCTTCTCTACATTTTTGATCAGTACCCTTCTTAATGCAAGAACGAAGTCGACTTCACCAGCCTTTTTTCCACACCCTTCATGTGGAGAAGAGAAATGGCATTGTCTGGATCTGGTTTGTTGTTTGTTTACTTACCTAAACCGTACTGCTGAAATAAGGAATTCCCCTAGCTTGTTCATCATACCTTCAGGATATAAGAGAGGTCAAGCTGCCTATTCTTGCATTGGCCGATGGATAATCTCAGCCCTTTCTCAGGGTAACATAGCTTCGGTGTTCCAGTTCCAATAGGTCTTTGAGCCCATTCCACAAGATCGTTGGCCCCTTCATGGGCAGCTGCAGCCAATATTTCTCCAGACCACATTTGTTCAGCAGCAACATGGTCCTCATTTAATACCTTTATCCATCATTATCGGTTGGATGTGGTCAGGTCCTCTACCTCTGAATTTGGTAGAAGTGTAATCTTTTTGTAAATAAAGGATTTTTAAAACCATTATTTTTGTTTCCTGGATATAGGCCACGGCAGCACTACGGTCCCACCCTATAATTTTTTTTTTTTAAATTGTATTGTTCGTAGCTTTGAACTAAGACTGAGGGGACGGGGAGGAAGTCTATTTTATTTAGGAGGTGTTTCCTGTCCAGTTGAGGAGTGGGAAGAGCTATACCCATCTGTGGTGCTGCCACGGCCTATATCCAGGAAACTAAAATATCGGTGAGTATGGTGTAAATGTTCTGTTATAAACACTCCCAGCAGACAGACCTAGCTACTTACA